ATGGCCCAAAATCGGTTGGGAACCACTAGACTAAACCTTTTCTCAGACGTCATGCTCAGTAGTAAACTCTTAAGCGTCCTTTTAAAATCATGGCTCGTGTGCGCCATATATGATGCCTGGAGGTGGAAATCAAATGTCCTGTGAATCACACATGATGCACAGAACTGGCAAAGGGTTAATAATAGAATCATACAAATAATCCCAAAATGAACACAGATACCTGAGGATTCCAAAACTAGTTGTCAAAATTATTTCTTTCATTTTCAATTGTGATATGAAGCTTGGTCACAATGTAATGTCTTTTCTTCTTTAATCATAATTGAAGTGCACAAATCACAAAAAAGCTAACACAATTTTTAAGGAACCCACATCTAGTCCTCAACATAAACCTGGTCTCCTTTTAGTGATACGCGGGTGGGTTAAATGTAACGCCTTCTCTTTTATTCCAAGGATTCCAACTCTAGGCATTAGTTTTTGTCGATCCGAGTAATCTTTAAGGAATTTAGGGATCACAATGCTCCCTTTTCTTTTGAACAGGAGTAAAGTCTTATCCTTTTTAACTGTTTCGGATCTGGTCTCCAGATCCTTGTAAAGTCTTATTAAAGGAACTGTCAACGGACATTTGACACAAACAGAAACTGTTGACGGATATTTGACACAAAATTGGTTAAAACATTTCAAAGATGGCGACACAAGCTACGAAGACAAACCAAGGTCAAGGAGACCTTCTGGTGTGGAAGATGAGTCTTTGCTTGAAATTATTCAACCACAGCCAAGAAAACATTGAAAATTGGATATATGTTCATAATCATAATACGAGAAATCTGTGGTTTCATTCCGTTTAGGCTTCAAAACCTGTTGTCACACCTTGCATCTTAGCGGCATTATCACTTTGGTTGGAGCGAATCGAATATCCTTAAAAATTAATTAACATATTGAGTATTCTTTTAGGATCCTTGTCAGTATCCTTCTACAGAACTGTGTTTCTGTTGGCAGAGATTTAACAAATAACGGATTTTCTAACGATTCCACATCTCGTCCTCAACATGATTTCCACCCGTGTTACTAGGGTGGGCCAAATGTAACGCCTTCTCTTCTATTCCAAGGATTCCAAATCTAAGCATCAGTTTTTGTCGTTCCGGGTAAAGTTTACGGAATTTAGTGTTCGCACTGCTCTCCTTGTCTTTTGAACAAGAAAAGAGTCTTATCCCTTTTCACTCTTTCGGATCAGGTCTCCAGTTCTTTCTAAAGTCTTATTAATTCCCTTTCACTGCCAGTAGAGACCAGGAACTGTCAACGGGCATTTGACACAAACAGGAACTGTTGACGGGTATTTGACACAAAACTGGTTAAAACATTCCAAAGATGGCGACACAAGCCACGAAGACAAACCAAGGTCAGGTAGACCTTCTGGTATGGAAGATGAGGCAAGTGTTATTAAGTGCTACAAAGAACAGTAAATTGTGGATAGCCATGATTCCCAACGTCCTGCATGGACACCACCCAAAGAGGATGAAGAAGAATTCTATGTACGTCTCAATTGGTAGACATTTTTGAAAGAGGTTTAGAGGTAGGAATAGAGAAGGTAACCCCTATTTTTCCCGGAGTTTCATGACGCCAAGGGGAGAGAGAGAGAGGGGTGGATAGATAGATAGATAGATAGATAGATAGATAGATAGAGAGAGAGAGAGAGAGAGTGTGATAGATAGAGAAAGAAATAGATAAAGAAAGAAATAGATAGAAATAGATAAATAGCGAAATAGATAGATAAAACATAGAGAAAGAAATATAGATAGACAGATAATAAAATAGATAGATAGACAGATAATAAAAATAAATAGATAGACAGATATAGACATGTAAGTTCCGCTGAACCTAGATGTAGTATACACCAAAAGTGAGCCCTGAGTGTTGAAACAAATCAAAAGTGCAAGAGCAGGCGTCTGCCACATGAATTGAATAGTCACACTTGCAGGCGAGTGAATTCAGAAAGCGAGACCAACCGACTATCATCTATCTTCGTCTATTCCGGTTGATATCTCTCTCTCTCTCTCTCTCTCTCTCTCTCTCTCTCTCTCTCTCTCTATCTATCTATCTATCTATCTATCTTTTTTAGTCCGTATCTATCTATCTATCTATCTATCTATCTATCTATCTATCTATCTTTGGTTCCTCTCTGTTTTAGTCTGTTTTTGCATTTTCTCCATCTTTCTTTCTGTTAGATACAGACATTTACGATGTCTGTATTCGAATTTTCTTAACGTTTTACTGCTCAGATAAATCTCGTGAAACTCACTCCCAAATGTCTAATATAGTGATTAATTTGCACCGAACAGTAGGGGTGGCTTTAAAACCTGAAATTTAAAGATGATACAAAAACCGAAATCACAAAACGACCCGAAAATAAATTAGTCGAGTAAAAAATCTCAAAGAAATAAAGAAAAATGAAGAAAGTACAAAGTAGATGGCCTAATCAAATATTTAAGCGTTTGTTAAGAACAACCAACAAATAGGAACACGTCATGAATGTCGATCTTTGTTTTTTTTCTGGCGACAAATCGATCTTGTCAATTAGCAAGAGAAGAAAAAAGCCTTTCATAGAAATCGAACGAAAGATCGTTTTCGATTTTTTGTTTTCGCGCTTTGCGATTTGTGTAAATTCATTTCTGTCTCGGGTGATTGTTGCAAATATTTTGTAATTCTTCGTTCCAAAGGGAAACCCAGAGAATTATGCCGATTTTCATATGGAAGAGGCTACAAAATAAAAAATGAAAAACAAAGGATGTAAGGAAAAGATTATAGTCTAACTCAGAAAGAAAGCCCTTTCCAATATAGCAAATCAAATCAGGTTGAGTCAAAAAGTTTTTTTCACATAATCTTTGGCATCATATATTGCGATGTCATATTAATAATTTAATATAACTTATTTTCCAATCGTTACTGAACAGTTCATTCTTTATTTTAATATATAAAATATAAACATTAATTGTTTATTTTTTATTTTACAGCTTAGATGATGAGTGGTGAAAGAATTACAGTGACAGCCATTTTACGCTATTGAAAAACAAAGAACAGAGTGCAAGGGTTAATTTGGTTTGGTATATCAGCCTCAGTGGGTTATTTAATAAGAACAAGACTTCCGCTGCTGGTAACACGTTCCTCCTCCAAAATATACTGCTGGTAATCCTCCCCTTCTCAAAAATGCACCGCTATTAATAATGTATTGCAGGTAATTTTCCCCAAAAATGTATTGCTGGTATTAAAACCTGTTTTTCCACTTCACAGTGTTTTGACCCCAGTTTGGGGATTAACTATTTGACCCATAGGTGGGACTTCGTATTTGTCTTGGTTTGTTATTTTTGTTGTTGTTGTTGTTGTTGTTGTTTTCTCTATCTTTCTTTCTGTTAGATACAAACATTTACGATGTCTGTATTCGTATTTTCTCAACGTTTCACTGCTCAGATAAATTTCGTAAAACTCGCTATCTATCTATCTATCTATCTATCTATCTATCTATCTATCTATCTATCTTTGTTTCTTTTTTTAGTCCGTATCTGTCTTTGTCTGTTTTTTGTTTTTTTCTGTCCATCTTTCTTTCTGTTAGATACAAACCTTTACGATGTCCGTATTCGTATTTTTTCAACGATTCACTGCTCAGATAAACCTCGTAAAACTCACACCCAAATGTCTAATATAGTGATTAATTTGCACCGAACAGTAGGGGTGGCTTTAAAACCTGAAATTTAAAGACGATAAAAAACCGAAATCACAAAACGACCCAAAAATAAATTAGTCGATTAAAAATCTCAAAAAATAAAGAAAAATGAAGAAAGTACAAAGTAGATGGCCTAATCAAATATTTAAGCGTTGGTTAAGAACACGCAACAAATAGGAACATCTGATGAATGATAGGGTGCTGCCATCCGGGTCAATGTGGACCTGGGAACAACAGCAATTAAGAGGTGGTTTTACGCTCTTCAAAGCCTCCCAATCAGAGGCCTTGCTGCCGGATGTAGTTTATCATCATACACAGGACAACTGAGTGCAAGAGAGTAGCAAAGTAAATTAATGCCGTGGAAAGGCCGGGAACTATCAACGAATATTTGACACGAAACAGGTTAAAATATTTCAAAGATGGCGACACAAGCCACGAATACAAACCAGGTCAGGTAGACCTTCTGGTATCGAAGATGAGGCCTTGCTTCAAATTATTCAACCGCAAGAAAAAATAGTTGACAGAACTTGGTTCTTCCCAAAGCCCCATCAATCAACAGCTCCATGAATGATCTGTGTTACTCATGACCAATGACCGGGCTCAACGATGTCCAAAGATTTGAAAACAACGGATGACAAATATTCAAGATACCTTATTTTGGGAATTGTAATTGCGGATAAAAATTGGATCTATTTTAGTAATCATAATAAGAGAAATCAGTCGTTTCGTTCCGGTTAGGCTTCAAAACCTGTTGTCAAACAACGGCGGTTTGAACAGAGGTTTATGTTGCATTGAATTTCGAGTACTTGTTGCAATTTGAGCTTGTCCCAGATGAAGGGTGAGTCTTATGCTCAACAATTGCAGCAAGTATATGCTTTGAAAACGTACTACCCTGCATGCGGTAATCGAAGTCTCGCACTTCTACAGCATGACAACGTCCCAGCTCACAATTCCGGTGTGACAAAGCACAAACTTGATTGGTTTGAAGTGCTGCCTCAACTTGCCTACCGTCCAGAATTTGCACCATCAGATTATCCCCTCTTTTTATCAATGGCTCACTTTCTATGCAGACGGTGGTTCAACAATATAGATGAGTTTGAAAACGGATGCAGATAGTTTTCTCTTTGTCTATAAACCAGAAAAATGGTATAAGGCAAGAACTGAGCTTCCAGCGCAATAATGGCAAAACAACTAGGACGGGAGATATTTTGAAGAATAAATGCTTTCCATATGTAATTTGTTTGAACTATTAGTTAAAGCTTGAAATATGAAACAAACTTTTAACTCAACATTGTAAAAGAATAGAGACGTTAGCTGCGATGAAAAAGAAAGCAATGCAAAGAATGTCTATGAGATGTACTACAAAAGGAGAGACACAAGAAAATTTAGCTTCCAACGTAGCTGGACCAGAGACGTAGTTCTTGGCTAGTACCAGATGTCGGGGTTCAAGCCCAGGTAAAATCTAAGATTTCAGATATTGATCTAAAAAAATACGTATATTTTAAAGATGAAGAGAGCAGAATCGACAGCGATGCGAACGGACAGATGCCTACTGAGAAAAACATAAAGAAACTCTTGGACAACGACAGAATATTGGAACTAGATGGACACATATTTAAAGCAGAAAGAAACAGTTGAAATACTATGAGGAAAGTGTTCTTGGGAAATTGAACACTCACAGAATATCGCAGGAATTAGGGGCAGATGGAAACATTGAAGAACCTACTTAAGTTTTTGGTGAATCGATGGCAAATCGAAGAGAAAGAAGGATGGTAAAGAATTAAACGATATTTAGAACTACAAGGAACCGGAAGTTGTGAAAAGCCATGATCGTCTGTGTTCTAACGTGACATGGCACATAAAAGATCTTCCCTACTTGTAACTTTGACGCAATATCATGTTTTTTTTTCTATTTGACTTTGTACAGTCCAAAGTTAATTTCCTGTCATCGTCGGCTTTATCTCGTATCTTATAGTTTAATTTCTTTTTTGCTGATCGCTTCCTTTATGATGATTGCAGGTCGTTCTCTGCGTGTGTCGGGCGTTATACGGGGCCGTCGGGCGCAGAGGACACCGTCGGACGCCGTCGGACACCGTCGGACGCCGTCGGACGTGTAGCAGTGGTAAGCGTTAAAATTGAACGACCGAAGTGCCGATTTTCGATTTTTTGTAAAAAAATTGAAAAAAACAAAATTCGAAAAGGAAACTAAACCTATTAATTATTGTATTTATATCGTTTCTAACCTTTTTAAGTAGTTTGTGTATTCTCTGGTATGAAAAAAAACAAGAGTTGTTTCAAGAAATGGATTCAAAGATTCGAATGTAGGAAGTTCGAATTTTGGTTGGTCTTCGCCGCGAGATGCCAAAGGTGCGCCAAATACGATCATCTTCGTCGTCCTTCGTCGTATTTTGTGCGCGCACCCAAGCTGTCGTTCGTTCCGTTCCGTCGCTAAATTCGCCGCCAACGTACAGGTTCAGGACTAGAAGCTTTCAGTTTCGCCAAAACATGCTCTCGTCATTCATTCCCTATCGTTGTTTGGCTTTTCAAGGTTTGGTTGGAGGTGAAACAATATCAGAATAGAAGAAAGTACCGATGGCGTGAATGTGTTTAGATGGACCCTAACATGCCAGGAAGTGACCCCAAAACGTGATTTAATTCCCTTCCTCTGTGGTACATATGGAATGGGACATGCAGAATCCAGTTATGAAACTGCAACGGACTGACGCTGTTATAATTTCGAGTGGCGTCTTCTATAGCATGTCTATCATGTCTAGCCCTCTTCTTCCGCTGGTTCAACCGCTGAGATCCGTTGAGATCTGTTGAAATCGTCATCCCCTTGTTCCGCCACTGGGTTCTTTGGGGTTGGTCATGAATAGTCTGGGTCATGTTCTTCTGTATTGATAGCTTCCTTTATGATGATGGCGCTGATGACTAAATCCGCCACCAGATATTTTGTATCATTATTTATCATGTGAAACCACAATTTTTAAATTTAGTGCAATACAACGGTTCCAAAAGAAAAAACCTGCCCTACTGGTACAAAGCGCCTCTTCTTTGCACCGTAAAGTTAACTATCAGTAAAAGCTGAAATACAAGTATTTCTGTTTTCAAATGATCGAAATAAATGGAAATTATTCATCTCATATCCAAGAATTTAATTTCTTCTTTGCTGATCGCTTCCTTTATGATGATGGCGCTGATGACTAAATTCGCTGCCAACGTACAGGTTCAGAGCTAGAACCTTCCAGTTTCACCAAATTTGCTCCCATCATCTATTCCCCATCGCAATTTGGCTTCACAAGATTTGGTTGAGGAGGAAACAAAATCAATATAGAAGGTCCTAATGACGGGAATTTGTTTAAAGTGGACGTCATCTTGCCAGGAAGTGACCTATACACATGATTTCATTTCCTTCCTCTGCGGTAAACATGGAATGAATCTTTCTTTTTTTTATTTAAAAAATTAATGTTATCTTGTAATGACGAATGTATCATCCTAACTCGTCGACTTTATCTCATAAACAAGAATTTAATTTCTTCTTTGCTGATCGCTTCCTTTATGATGATGGCGCTGATGACTAAATTCGCTGCCAACGTACAGTTTCAGGACTAGAACCTTCCACTTTCACCAAAACCTCGTCCCGTCATCTATTCCATATCGCAATTTGGCTTTGCAAGATTTGGTTGGAGGTGAAAAAAAATCAATGTAGAAGAAAGGGCCAATGGCGTGAATTTGCCAGGATGTGACCCACACACTTGATTTCATTACATTCCTCTGCGGTACATATGGAATTAATCTTTCCTTTTGTTATTTTAAAAACAAATATTATCTTGTAATGACGAATGTATCATCCTAACTTGTCGGCTTTATCTCGTATCCAAGAATTTAAGTTTTTTTTTTTGCTGATCGCTTCCTTTATAATCATGGCGTTGATGACTAAATTCGCCGTCAACATTCAGGTTAAAAAAACAAAAAAAATAAAAAATGAAACAATATTATATTTTCCTGATTTGTCTACACTGTTTACATTATTCAAACTATTGTGCTCATCTTTATTGGCATATTCACGATGTTTCGGCCGTTGTACGCTCCGGCCTTCTTCTGGTGATATTAGTTGGAATTTCTAACCGAACGTTTTATTTAGTCCAAGCGGATTAGATTGTTCTAATTCCACTTGCCATGCCCTTTTCGGATATCTTAGTTTCAGTTAATTCCCCTTGGTAACTCAACACTCCAAGTTTTTGTTCCCTCTCTTATAGCCAGGGATTGAACTCACAACTCCTTGGGCGAAGTCACTTTTTGGATCATTCAACAAATTCTTTTATCCACTAGTCCATATTTGATTCCGAATAGCAAATACAACACACACACACACACACACACACACACACACACACACACACACACACACACACACACACACACACGTGTGCCTACATACATGCATATACATACATACATATATATATATATATATATATATATATATATATATATATATATATATATTATCAATAGATGATTTTATATCGTCTCATTTCGTTGTTGGAAGTGCTATCTGATGATCTGGTGTCCTTTTAAAGGACTCTGGTGAAATAAATTATTGTAATGATACCTTAAAGTGGTCTGTTTTTCTTATATATATATATATATATATATATATATATATATATATATATATCAATTGATAATTAGTTGGGATAATTCCAAGGAGGACATTAAAGAGAATTATAATGCGATAATGATGGTTTCGTTGTCGAAAATGACTTGATAATTCACTGTATCTTCTTTGAATCTGATCGCTTCCCGCTCTCGCTCTGTTTTTTTTTTTTTTAACTTGTCCGGTCCTTAAAGAAAAATCATTTCTAGGTCAACTTATCAGCTCATGTTTAATTCTTCCTTCTTTCCTTTTCTCTCCTTCCCTCTCCACTCCCACTTACTTCCCTATATCACTTTATCTCTTTCTCCTTCCCCACCAAAGATTTTTGAAAGTTTTATATTGAAATTTTAATTTTTCCTTCTTCCTCTTTTAATATTAAAACTTTTTGTTTTTTGTATTTTCCTCTCCCTTTTTCTTTCGTCTGGATAAATTGACTCCATTTATTAAGAAAACGTCGGTCTGAAGAGATGAATATATTTTGTATACTCATGAAATAAATTATAACTTATAACCGAATGGATTTTTAATGATCGCCTAGACTCATTTTATATATATATATATATATATATATATATATATATATATATATATATATATATATATATATACGGACTGACGCTTATATATATATATATATATATAAGTACAAGTTTCATTTACATGCCTTTGTTCTTTTTTAATCATAAATTATGTAGAAATTGTCCGAATGACATTAACATTTTTTTTTATAAAATGAGATGCATGGTAACTATAAAAAGCATAAAACATTCCTTAGAAGCATCATAAAGAAATCTACAACTCCAGTTAACAAAAGCAAGAAAATAAAATTATCTACTATAAAAAAATTAAAGGCAGATAGATAGATAGATAGATAGATAGATAGATAAATGCTGTTTGGGAAATATGAAATTAGTTGAAATATATACAAAATAGCTGCATAGATGTAGGGATAGATAGATAGATAGATAGATAGATAGATAGATAGATAGATATCAAATGGCTGGATAGATATACACATACATATCAAAATGGCTGAATAGAGAGATAGATACTGATTGTCATAGACACATATCAAAGAGTTTGAAATAATTAGGGGGATAGATATGTCTACAGAATGAAAAAAAAACATGAACTAAGACACAGCATTATATTTGATTAAAAACGCGCCAGGATCCAAAATTAGTTTTTTTTTCTCTCTCTCCGACCGACTTTCTTGTGAGTTTAAAACATTGAATTCCGATATTGTCCATTCATTACGTTACCGAAAAATCGATCTCAATTATAAAGTATTGAATAGCAAAATGTCAAGTTTTTCTTTATCTTCGCAAACTTCAATCAGTAAAATGTCACCCATATCATCAGAGCGTTTGATAAGTCTCTCAAGGAAAATGGATGTCTGCCAAATTTTCTCAAAGTTAAATTGTTTGTTTCACTCAGCATTATAAAAATGTCATCTGGCATCCATTAGTTTTGCTCTGGTTTATTACACTGCTTATTATCTAAATAATATACAGTCACACCCCACTTAACGACTTGGTACCGTTCCAAAGTTCTGGTTGTTTGAATGAGCTAGTCGCTAAGTGAGAAGTTGTACCTGACGGCTATTTCAGGCACTGGACGCGGGCAATTGGTTTATATCAACCAGTTTCAGGGAGCTTTAATGTCGTTTTACCCGACTATAACAGGTCTAATTTATTTCTAAATGTTTATACAGTACAATAGTGTAGTGAACTGTAAAAACTAAATAAAAAATTCGAAATCAGCCCTATTTTATATACATTACTCGGGAATAGATAGCTGGCTACTTTATGCGTAATGCGAAATTCTTCCTCTCTCTCTCTCTCTCTCTCTCTATATATATATATATATATATATATATATATATATAATGGAATGTGCGTGTAGAAGCAAAGAATTAAGTTAATCTTCAAACACGGATCTACAAATTTCAATATTTTTATTTATTTGATTATTTTTTTTTTCAAATTGAAAGAAATAACATACAAAGATTCTTTGCGTACAACTTCACACAAAATATTTTGTGTATCTTTTTTGTAGTACAACCGAATGAATTGCGTTAGTATAACAAAAACAGAAAAATGCGTCTACATGTGTGCGGATATATGCGACACGAATTTACCTTGTTTTTTCTGAGAGTATAAATTTACAGCGGTCGACCACAGGAAAAAAGGCAGCGGAAGCTAGTTGCTATCTGCTGACGCATGTAAACACATTTAGCCTGTATGTTTTCCTTTTATGCGTCAATATCGCTTAGCATTTTTTTTTTGTAATATTATATACCCGAATATGGGAAAAATATCAGAAATTAATTAACTGGGAGAATTTCAGTTTTATCTGAATATAAAACAAACACATCTGGTTAAAGGTTCACTCAAAAATAGAACGAACTGAAATCTGTGGTTTATATAACAAAATTTCGGTTTAGAAAATTAGATTTATTAATCTCAAACTTATTGATTAATAAATATTATTCCAATTTAAAACATCCTTTTTTAAGGAGAAAAAAATAGTGTTACTTATATTCTGAATTGAGCCTATAAAATTTAATTCTAAGAAATTTTTAACGTCTGCCCATTCAAAGAATACCAGGAGTCACATAACACGTTGCTGGTTGCTTACATACAAAAATTCAAATATTTGGCAGCTGTCAGTGTACAAAATATGACTTTTCAATGACAGTACCTAAATCTATTAGCATTTTTCTACAATTCTAAAACAGGTTCTCTCTCTCTCTCTCTCTCTCTCTATATATATATATATATATATATATATATATATATATCCAGGTAGTTTTGCCTGGCCCTTAGAATTATCTTATCTTAGGTTTGCTCTACTTAGTTACGTAGTTATCTTTTTACTCGTTTCGGTTTTTTTTCTTTGTACTTGGAGCTTGAACACTGGACGATTGTTTTCCCCTTGTTTTAATATTCTTGGTTCTTTCTTTTTTATTCCTCATTCCGATTTGTTCTACTGCAAGTTGAGCTATCCGAGGTTTTCCCAAACGAGGACCACCATTTATATATATATATATATATATATATATATATATATATATATATATAAATGGTATATATATATATATATAAATGGTGGTATATATATATATATATATATATATAAATGGTCCTCGTTTAGGAAAACCTCGGATAGCTCAACTATCCGAGGTTTTCCCAAACGAGGACCACCATTTTATATATATATATATATATATATATATATATATATATATATGTATGTGTGTGTGTGTGTGTGTGTGTGTGTGTGTGTGTGTGTGTGTGTGTGAAAGTGTATATAAATATAAATAAATATATATATATAATTATTTATATATTATATATGCGGTACTTATTAGAAAAGCGCTCAATATCAGAGATAGAGCTAACATATTTGGTTGGATAGATGTGAGTTTGTGACCTAGGTTTCACGCTTTGGCGATCGTCAGACAAACCCTTTTTTCTGACGATCGCTAAAGCGTGAAACCCAGAGTCACAAACTCACATCTATCCAACTAAAATATATATATATATATATATATATATATATATATATATATATATGTGGGCGTGTGTAAAAAGTGTGTGTGTGTGTGTGTGTGTGTGTTAAAATAATGAACAATCACGAAACGTTGTTTCTCTTAACGACTAAATGCAATGGTGGCTCATTGTAATGGGTCTGATCATAAATTTGATTTAAAAATGCTACTTTAGCTAAAACAGCCTGTAATTTACTAAGATGAAATGTAAAGAAAGGGCTTTAATCGCTATATCATCCACAGTAAATGTACGTCCACATTCTTACAATATGTCAGCTATCTTGGCAGAACTTCTATTCTCACAATGTGCGATATTAAATAAAAAAAACTGATTGAAACGTGAACACAAAAACAAAACTAAATAAAATCGGCTAGTCTATATATCCAAAATATATTTTTTGAAAGTGGAAATTATTTAAAATTCTCAGTGCCCCCTCTTCTTCATGAAAATGTGTAGTTGCATCAACGTAAGCATCACTTTCATCTGATGAAGACCTAAAGGATGAAACGCGTCCTACGGAAACTTTTTTTGATTTGTCCCAATTTTTTTCCTAATATATATATCTATATATATATATATACGTACAGGTGTCTATGTATCGATGTTTTTGTGTGCGTGTGTGTGTATATGTATATATATAATGATGATTGCGTCTAGAATGAAACAGCCTGTTGCCTCTGACTGTTGACTTCAATGTTGACTTTCAGTTATATATAATATATGTATTGTAAAGGTAACAAATCTGTATATACAAAGTGAAGGTAACAAATCCGTATGTATATATATATATATATATATATATATATGTGTGTGTGTCATTTAGAACATTTGATCTCTAACAAAATAAAGTAAGTACATATGTTGGTTGTACTAATAAACAAAGAAATTAAACTGCAATATTATCAAGACGACTTTGTTTCATTTGTAGGAGACAAATATTTTATTGTACAACATTTAAAAACACATTCCTGTCCACCTTCACAATACAGGAAAATACTTGTTGGCAATACTAAAAAAATAATAAACAAAGAAATTAAACTTTCGTGACCCTCTACATCAAAATCAACCAACCAACACTCAACTCATTACGAGTATAGCAGCAACGTACTATAGTGCATATAACAAACATTTAATGTCATTTTGCATTTCTACCAATTTCCCGCCACCTTCATTATATTGAAACGCTTGTTTTGTAGTAAATAAATAAATAAATAAATCCATGACTACAACAGGTAAATCTAAATTTTTAATTTAAATTCACTATAACAGAGCGCGGTCGCGGATGTTTCTTTTTTTTTAAATTACCATCACAACGGGATGCAGATATTATCACAGTTATAATAAGTTTGTCTTTGGAATTTACCTCTGAAAATAAACTTGGAAAAACTCAAAAGTACTTGGTTTAGAAAGAACGACTGCGCCTTCCTTGATGCGTCTTAACATCAAAAGACTGGTTGGAGAAATAGAAAAGAATGTTATAAAAATAAATAAACATAATATGTCGATATTTTTAAATTTGATATGTTTGTATGAAGATATGCTCGCCTATATATATATATATATATATATATATATATATATATATATATATATATATTATGAGATATTATAATAAAACATCTTAAATCGGTACACAAGAGCTTTCATGTTTCAATACTAAGATTGTACTTCTTCAGGCAACTACGAACTGTGGATTTTTACTCTATTTGTTCTTTCTCTTATATATATATATATATATATATATATATATATATATATATATATATATGTGTGTGTGTGTGTGTGTGTGTGTGTGTGTGTGTGTGTGTGTGTGTGTGATTTATATATTATTTATATATTATATATGTGCGGCACTTATTGAAAGCACTCAAGGTTAGTGATAGAGCTATCATACTTAGATGTATGGATGTGAGTTTGTAACCCTAGATTTCACGCTTTTGTGATCCCCACACAAACATAAAACAAACTTTATTTGAGGATCTCAAAAGCGTGAAACCTAGGGTTACAAACTCACATCCATACCACTAAGTATATATATATATATATATATATATATATATATATATATATATATATATATATATATATATATATATATAAAGTACGAAATTCCGAGAAAAAAAAACTAATCATATCACTCTATTAATTGAAATATTTACTTAGTTCATATCACGTTAACTGGAAAACACTTACAACAAAAGAATTCGCGGATTTACCAAATTACAAAATTCATATAAAAATATTCTCTCTTGAAATATTTGAACTTTAGCGTTGCGACTTGCGAGTTCCAATATTATATAACCGTTAATAAATAACACATCCTTAAAAAACATCTTTCGGTTTACAACACATTCCTTTCGTCTTCAAGTTTTTATTTTAAAGGAAAAAATTACAGCCTGATGATGAGGACATGAAGTCTTTGAAAGTACTTGCTGCTGTAAAAAAATAAACTAGGTCTATCTGACAACAATTTTAAACATAAGGATCGCCTCATTCAGTGGATTGTTAGTAGTTTAATGCTTATATTAAGCCTGTTAGCGAAGAGATTTCGCC